CATACTTTTTCCAAAATTTCATTTTACAAATATATCATTAACATTTAATATACCAGAAATGACTAAAAGAAATAATATAGAAATATCTTCAGCTATACAAGTGAAGGGCTTCCCTGACAAATGAAGACTGAGGATGCCATCTTTTTTTATATAGAAAATATTAATATCTAATACAATTTTACCTAATTTAATCCTGGGAAAAGTGAAAGCTAAGACAGTAGACACTTATTATTTAACATTTACATGACTCACCACTGTTCTGAGCATTCTGAAAATACTAACTCATTTAATCTTAAAACCATGCTACAAATTATAGTTAACAAGTAATAAAAAGAAAAAAGGCTAATTTTCTCCCCTCCTTGGATTCCTGTCCCCAACAGATGGTAAAAAGACAGCAAAAGTTGAGTGAAAACAAAATTGGACTCATAAGATATGAGTTAAGGTAGTTTCTGGTTACATTTAGGATTTGATGTGACTTTGGACAAATTGCTGGAAGCAGAACTTCCTAAATCTCGGCGATATTCAGAACCTGAGAAAGAACGTTGCAGTGACAGATGCCTTGGGCTTCACCCAACATGTTCTAATTAATTATTACAGTGGGACTTGAGAATCTGAACTTCCCTCAGCATGATGGAGGATACCTTGATGAGCAGCTGCATTGGGAGGCAGTGATTCAGCAGTGTGATACTCTCTAACCTCCATAGAGAAGCATACAACACTATGGGGTCCATGGACGAGATGGGTAGATTCTAGATACCAGAATCATTATCTCAGTCTTTGTGTGTCAACAACAGAAAGGTCATCTGGCATATGAAAGCCAACACAGATACATTATCCTACAGGTGACTGTCGTCTTCACTATCTACTGAAGCCTGCCCCCCCTCCAAGGCATGTTGTCAATAACAGTTAAGCTAGAAACTGAGACCATGGTCCCATCAGCTTACAGTATAAAAGCAGAGCACACTACCTTTACCCAAATGGCAGCGAAATTGTATTCACACAGCCCTGAGAGTTTCTGAGGTGATCATACTTTTTTCTACTTAAAACTAAACATCACAGCGTACTTTTTATCCCTAAAAACATTTTCTGACTACTGATGTGACACTACCCAGGAAGAAATAACCTTAATAAAACATATAATTTATTTTTTCACTGATGGTGACAAACTGCTATTACATGACTTCTTACCTGACCCAAAACCCATCCATAAAGCTTTGTTGTTGTTACTAGATGTATAGTTATATTTGTTTGTTGCTTTTTTGAGACAAAGTGTCACTAAGTATTCCAGGCTGGACTCAAACCTGCAGCAATTCTCCTGCTTCAGCCTCCTGAATGCTGGGATTACTTATTATTTCATGTATCTTTATGAAGCAAATATGTGTATAAATATGGAATTTATAGTTATGAAAATATTTCAATGCTGGTATATGCACATGCCTATCAGAAAAGCTCTGAAGCAACCATCTAAAGAAAAAAAGTCACCTACTTTATGGATCGACACTGGACAAACTTCGTAGGACAATCTATTTCATTATGTATTTCTGGTTAACTGGTAATGCCAATGGCAGGTCTGCAGGAACATTCACCATAATGTTTCAAACATGTAACTGAATGTAAGTTCTTATTCTATAGAAACAAGTAATGCTTTTGACACCAAACCCCAATTAAATGACTGCAGTCAACTAATCATTAACCCTGAAGCCTGACTCATAAATCCATACCTATCTCATTTGCTGCAAAAAGCATAATTAGCTATGAGTAATAGTAGACCTAAGAATTATGGTTACTAAAATTTCTTTTACTTAGTAAAATACTATTATATTTGTTATTGTGTAAGGCTTGATCACAAATAATAAAAAGTGAACTCACAAGTCAAGAAGAAATCCAGGCATTTTATGTTTTATTTATTAGTACATGTTTGCAGTACAAGAAGTTTACATTCGTTTAGGAATTCGGCACATGTACATAACACAACTTGATCCATTTTAATCCCAACTCCCTCTCTCCACCTCTAAATTCCCTTTCCCCATTTTTATTCCTGTTACTATTTTTAGTTCATGTTTACAACATGTAAAGTTTACATTCATTGTATTTGGTAGTGTACATGACACATCCTAAATTTACTTCCTTTTCCCCTCCCCTAGTTCCTTCCCTCTCTGTCTCCTGAACCCCTTCCTATTTACTGTTATTATCCAGAAGGATAAATTCAAGACATTTGTGGGAAAATGGAGACACTGTGAAAATGTAATAGTGCAATCAAGCACACAGGTTAAATATTTATAGTATCTCTCGTTCGAGTTAGGCAAAATACAAATAAAGAGCAGATACAAAGAAACAGGGAGATTATTATAAAACAGGAATTTTCATGTTCTCTGAGCTGCCCAGGTAGCGAATTTAGGAATGCTCATGAGTTCTACTGGATATTAGTGTGATGATTAATATGTACTTATAATTAGGCCCTTTCATCTAAGTGCGTCAAAGAGCTCTTAGAGCATTAATTTCCTATTTCTTATAATATCTCTGAGAAGCAGACTGGTAGAAAGTTATTATTATCTTTATTTTAAAGTCAGAAAAACTAGAGCATAGAAGGGTGAAGTGACTTTGCTGGGGTCATAATAGTGAACAGCTAATAACAAAGGGACTCAGTTATTTTCATTTCTAGTTCAGTATACCACCTTTTACACACTTCTTTAATACACTAAATGAATTTCTATTCTAGGAAAATTGAGAATAATGTGTTTAATCTAAGAACTAAATGTATGAGAACGAATTTCAGTTTCTTTGTGTGTTTTTAAAAATGCTGCTTTACAGGAATACAGAGCAGAAGCTAATAATTAGTCTTTGGTTTGCTTCTGTAGCTATTATTTATGGGGCCTTTGTTACATGTGGTTTTCTGAAGCCTCTGCTCAAAATGAACTATTCTGACTGCAACCTGCTAGGTTAGCACAGCTGTGACAACCGAGAAAGGCTGACTAATGCATTTGAGGCTGTCTTTCATGGTGTTCCTACTGCTCGCTCTTGAAGTCACCCTCCGGGTAGTCCTTTATTCAGCAAGTATTTGTGCAGCCCATCATCCTCAGCCTTAGTCTGTGGTAGTCTAAGGTGTTGCCAATGATTAAATACTTTCACTAAAATATCAACATAGGTAATATTTCACCTTATGAATTTATGATGCTGTACTAAGCACTTTCATACTCAAAGTCAGACTTTAATCACCGAAGCTGCAGGATTGCAAGGTCAGTTTCAACCTGGGGACCTCTGCAAGACCCTTTCTCAAAAAAAGTGCCGGAGGATGTTGCTCAGTAGTGGGTGGACACTTAGCACCACACTGGGGTTCTAAAAAAAGAACACTTAAATTTTCCTGAGTTAAGGCAAGAAAAAAGGAGAAGCGGCTTCAAAACTGCAGTCCTCTTGATGAGATCACGTAAACCTGTCCTGTCTCTAAGTACAATTCACCTCCCCAGACTGCCAGATGTAAGCTGCCCTTAGATATTATCACTCTTACTACAAAATCACTAAGCCCAAAGCCAAACTTTTTCTGCTCCTCCCCAAAGCGTTCTTCTCAGAGTCAATCCTTTTTCACATCATTTTGTAAAATACTCCTGCCCCTCCCCCAAACAAAGCATTGTTACCGCCACAACCACGATGATCTAGCTGTACTTAGCAATTCCTCAATTATCAGTTGATTTGTCCTCCTAATATTATAGAACTGCTCTTGGATGCTGTCACACCAGTTCTCTTTTCTCTTCTTGGATTCTCCAATGGCTCTTTATCTAGACTCATGCCCTGCTCTTCCCCAGCAACTAATCTGCCCCTCTTCAACAAAAGAATAGCTTAAACTGTGAATCTGTCCAGGGCCTTTCCTATTCTCGCTGTGTCATAAGGGCAAGGAGTTTATGATTAGGCTTCTGCTTCTGCAGCCTCATCTTCTGCGACCCATACTTGAACTTTTAAGACCTGTAATTACTACTCAGTCTTTTCTCAATTAGTTGTCCCTGTGATATGGATCTCAATTAGTTATCTATATGGATCTGAATTTGCCATCTCACATTATTGTTATTTTGGAAAAAAAATGCCTGTATCTCTGCAAAAACCTAACCTCGAGATTTGGTCCTTTCCTCTCTCACTTTGATACACCATAGTTCCACACGCAACTGTTTGCTTTCATATCCCCTTTTGACTGGGGATTCCTTCAATGGGTAATGCCGAGCATGCAAATGGTATTCAAATTGGAGGGGAAAGAAATGAGATTAATCAAGAGGTAGGAATTTGCTCGGGACAATGGGCAAAGCATCTATTTCCAGACTGTGGAGGGATATAAATCCAACCGAATTGGTGAAAAGATTTTTAACGTATGTTATTGAATCTGTGCCGCGGCCTCCAGACGATCTCGGGACCAAACCCACAATCACACCTGCTGCACGAAGGCGACCTGCGCTCCTCGGAAGGGACCGCAGCCCTCGGCCAGGGCGGTTTCCGGGGCAGTTCCGAACCCCCCAGCAAGGACAGGGGTCCAGCTGCCACCGAGGAGCCGGACGGCGACATGCCACGTCACACCCGGGAAAATCCTAGGCCCAAGACAGCGCGGCCCCCGCCCCACTGCGCCGGGGGAGACGAGGAGGCCCCCTGCAAGCAAGATGGCGGCCTCCCCTCCCTCCCGAGAGCCCCTTCCCGCTCCCAGCAGAAGAGAGGACGCCGCGGTCCGAGAACCTCCGCGAGGCCCTTAGGCCACTCTCGGACCGCTGGGAGAGGTGCTTCGCCTCCCGGGGCGCAGACAGCCAAAGGAGGGGCCGCCCCTGAGCCACACACGGGGCGGAAGCCGGCGAGTCCGCGCACCCAGAGCCTTTGTTCCCGGCCCCGGCCGCCATCTCTCCGCTCCGCGCCCGCGGACGGGAAGTGCTCCCCGTCGGCCCCGCCCCGCTTCCCGGCGCCCCGGAAGTGGTCGGCGGCGGCTGCTGCAGAGCGGCCAGGAGGAGGGTGGCTCTCCCCTGAGCGGAGCTCGGAGTCCTCCTCCTGCTCCTCCTCCGGCTGCCCAGACTCCGCCGCCGCCCGTCGGACTCTGCCTCCTCCTCCTGCCGCTCTCGCCGCGGAACCTCCCAGACGACCAGGGCCGCGGACCCTTGGCTCCGAGGCAGCACAGCCGCGGCTTCTGGAGCCCGCGGGCGGCGGACCGGCTCGGCGCACAGGTAAGCGATGCCCCGGGGCCAGGAGGGCCGGGGCGGCGGCGGGGGTGTGTCCGGGCGGCGGTGGACGAAGCCCGGGCGCGGCGTCTGAGCGCCCAGATTGCACCTCTCGGGCCAGGCTGCCAGGCGAGTCCCGGGCGCTGGAACCCCGGCGCTGCATTCGCGGCTGTGCGGCGAGTGCGCCCCGGGAGCCAAGTCCCCGCGCCCGCCGCCCCTCCAGGCGGCCTCGGAAGGTCACCTCGCTTCTCCAGCCGGTGGCACTGAGGTCCCCGCCCGGGCGGTGCCGGCGACCTGGGGACTCCCTGCCTGCGCCGCCGCAGTCCCCCGCTCCCTCCACCCTTCTCTCCTCTCTTCCTGCCTTTGCACCCCTCGCCTGTACTAAAGCGTCCGCCGGGGCTTCTGTGCAGATCCAAGGGTCGGTTTGGGGGACCCAAGTCGTTAAGACGCCCCGCACTGAACGGAACAGTTGGCCTTGGACTCCTGTAGAGGCTGAGCAGAGGCTTCTATTAGAATGACCCAGCCTCGGAAAAGAGGAGAGAAGGGAGGTAGCTGGGTGGGGGCATTTCTTCCGCTGTTCTAGAAGTGGAAGGTGAGATTTGTGCGTCTGAGTTTGGGCACCTAGGTGGGGAAGTGGGCGGGGGTGACCGCACGGAGTGGAAGCGTTGTTTAGAGGTTTAGGGGGAATTAGGGAGTTCCCTGGCCTTGCGTGGAAACCTGAATGTCCAGACTTGGGAGAGCTCAGTCGAGTGTCATTGAGGTTGTGTGAGAACTCCAGTGCCACGCCCTGTCAGATACTGTAGTTTGATGTGTGTGGGAAAAACCCTTTATAAAACATAAATCCTAAGTTCGTCGTTCTTTCCACAGAAGTAAATTATGACTTTAATAATCGTTTCAAAAATAGGATAGCAAATTTAATAAATAAACTCTCACAGTATTAGGCCTTTCTGTTAGCTTATGTTTGTTAATGTATTAGATTAGCCTGTATTTTTCTGTCTGCATTAATAATGTTTTAAGGTCTTGAATTTTTCAGGGCAGGAGCTATGTATGTGTTGTGTTTCAACACAATGTGTCTAGAACACATTTTTTTCACAGAATGAATGAATGAATATGTAGGTGATCTCACCTTTCAGAAGTGTGCTTTATTTTGTTCACGAGAGTATTTGTTCATTTTTCTGAGGTTCTTGGCACTTACAGATTTTTGCTTTGCCTTCCTGTTCTTCAGCAGGTGTAAAGAACAATCCGCAAAACCCTACCCTTTCCTGGAAGGTTAAAATTATATTTGGGGGACTGTGATTGGACAGTGTGATAATTTATATTCCAGTGTTCAGCGATTATGGTTTGAGCATTTCACGGTTTGGAGGAAAAGATTGCCTGGGGATGGGCATTATGGTTTTTTTGGAGTTAATAACTGTACCCTGTTTTAATCAAAAGGAGGAAATGGGAAGTTAACACTATGTGGGAAACGTGGTGCATCCCAGGATTGCTTATAGTGGCGGCTTCTTCCCACAGATGCCCGAAGTCCTCTGTCATCTAATGTGACCTTGATAAGATTTACCGGTAGCCACTTGCACATTTCTTTCCCAAGATCCAGATCTAGTGTCTGCTGAGTATGCAGTCATCTGTATCTTTTACTTCATTACAACACTTTTTTTTTCTTGCATGGCTTTTCATAAAACAGGGCAAAAGGACTAACTACAGAGAAGAATCTTATTGACAGTTTATGAGGGAAGATTTTTGTTTATAAATGGTTGGATTATTTCTACTTCAGGGAGGCCCAAATCAGAACAGAGTGCTAACCTGTTCTTTCCTGCCCAGTATGTAATGGTTCTCCTGCCTTTGTTTTCCCAATCTTGCTCACTTTCTACAGAACATAAACAAACATGCCAGTATCATTTTTTTGTTGTTTGCTTTGCTTTGTTTTGTTGCTTTGTTTGTGGTGGTACTTGAGGATTGAATCCAGGCTTTTTTTCCCCCCTAGACTGGGTCTGGCTAAATTGCTAAATTCCCCAGTCTGGACTCAAACTTGATCTGCCTTCTGCTTCAGCCTCCTAGAGTGCTGGCATTTACAGGTGTGTGCCACCCTCCCTGGCTGCAGTATCACATGTCATGTATGTGTCTCTCAGCGGGCTACACACTAAATTCTTTTATAAATGAAGGATTAATCACTTTTAAAGTACTGGAATAAGAAGCTATTAATGTTAATGAGAAAACATGCTTTTCAAAGATGTAGGGGAGACAGTTCATGATTTTCAGTGTTTTATAAAATGTTTGAATTCTTAAACAAAGAAGAGAAGAGCCTGCAGTTGAGTAGCTCACCTACATGACCACTGTATAGATGTTAGATTTCCCTTCTTTAATTCAGATGCTTTTCACCCATTGATTTCCTGCCAAGCACCATGATTAGAGCTTTGCTTATATTATTTCTAATCTCCACATACCTTTGCAAGATGGAGACTTTCCCCGGGCTTTCTAACACAGACTGCAGTTATTTGCCAGAGACGCAGCCCCTAGCTAGTGTGTAGTAGAACCTGGGTTTGAAAATGAAATAAGGATTTCTAAGAGTAGTGAGGGTTAATCTTAACCCTAAAAGGAAGGAAACGATTGAGCTGAGCTTTAGGAAAGTGAAGACACTGGTCTCAGCACTCTTGGCCACTGTGTGTGGCCTGGGTCAGCAGTGACTCTGGCCAGGTGGTCTTAAACAGCAGCTGCTCTCCTCTTTATCTCCAGGATGCCTACAGACACAATGGCAGAGATGTGCCAGGTCGGTTCTTCCCCCTCTAACCCTAAACCATGCTTCTCGGGGTTTAGTACAGAGACTTGAGGATTGCAGAACTTTTGTTCATGATCTAATTGCTATTCAGTGCTAGGAGAATGCTCCTCATGCCAAGTCTGTGTGAATTTTTTTTTTAAATGCACTTTTTCATAAGCTTAATTTGAAGAGTGTTTTCACCTCTTGGATTAAAGAAAAACGATAGAAGTTCTAAGTAGAAGACAGCTCATTCTCTGGACCCCGTAAATAGCAGTTCTTTTCTGCTTTCTCCCTTAAACACTTTCTCAAAGCTGTGTGAGGCAATTTTAGAAGAGAATTTGCTTGATGTAGTTATATATAAGGTGAAGACTTGTTTCCCCAAACTCAACAGAATAGTCTGTAGAAGCAAAAAAAAAGCAAGCTGCCATGAAACATTATGTATTTTTCTTAAAGGGCATCACAGCCGTGTCCTGTATTAGAAGCAGTAGACCAGGTACATGACACACATAATCTTGCAGTCTAGAATCCAGTTTTATTGCTGAACTCACTTTTTGAAACTGAGTGTTGAGGTTGACAGTGTTGCTTTGGATGGTAAAACACAGTGAGTTTATGACATGATTTCAATTCCCAAATTCATTGTGAAGATCGACAGAAATGCCTAGATTCCACAGAGACCATGGTTGTTGTCATAGAAGCCACAGAATCACTATTTTTTTATGCAGTTGAGTAGCTAGCATTGTAATCCATTGGAAGTAGATGTTATCACACAGAATTGCAACTGTTTTCCTATACCCTCCTGGTGTAGATCTATTCTGGAATATTACAGCTGCATTCTGTCCTGTGATTGGCCTTTCTCTAAATTTTTCCTTTAAAATCTAATCTTCCTTTAAAAACTTCTTGTGGTTCCTTTTTGCCCATTAATAGAATCAAACTTTTTTATTCTTAATCGTATGTATACAAAACCTTCCGGATGTGCCCCTTTCCTAGTCAGCTGTCTAGACTCTTCTCCCTTTTGTAACACTCCCTTGCAGCTGTGCTGAGGTGTTGGCGTGTTAGTGTTTGCTTCTTCTCCCATTTGCTCTTCCTGGTACGCTAGCCACTCTTCCCAGTGTGCCACTCGTGCTAGGCCTTGAGACTTGGTTCAGGTTGTACCTCTCGGAACCCATATGTCAATTAGGTCTTTTCTCTGGACCCATCCACAATCAAGCGGTCAATCAAAAATAAATAAATAGAAAGAAAGAACGGTAAATCTCCAAGTCTAGGCTTGTGGTTTTAATGTATGCCATCATGCCTTTAGTGTCTGTACTTACTGCACTAAGAAGAGTGCTTTCATAAGCCTATTGTACATTTGGTTTATGTCACCCCATAGTTAACTCAAAATTATACAGAGTCATCCTCTCCCTCCTCTCTCAGTTCATGTCTTAAATGCCTTCACAGTTCTTTATTAGAACTTTCCCAACTTTCTCAGTTCTTGATACTTATTATATTAGTAATTTTTTCATCTCTTTGTCAAAACACCTCGCAGTATAATTTATTAAATACTTAGTCCAAATAAGTTATTGTCTAACGTCTTAGTAGCTTTTTGAGAAATAATACACACAAACTAAGTAACCTTTTTTTTTAATATTGGGGATTAAACCTAGGATCTTTGCACTAAGCAGCGTTCCTTGTCTTTTTAAAATTTTTGACAAATTTTGATACAGGGTTTTACTAAGTTGCCCATATTGAGCTCAGACTTCTAATCCTGCCACTGCCTCCCAAGTTACCAGCAATTACACATATGTGCCACCACCCAGCTAAGTAACTTTCATTTTTAACTGTTTGGTTCTTCATTGCATGTACCATGTTTTTTTCCAAACAATGCCCTACCTAGAAATTTAAGTAATTTCCATAGTAGATGATGTTATGAGTTAAAACTTTGCACGTGTGTATGTTTGTATTGTTGGGAGTGTATCTTCAGGCTAAATGCATGTGTAGATTTGTAAGATGTTGCCAAATTCTTCTCCCCATGGGATTGTGCTGTTACCCATCCTCTCCAGCAAGGCATGCGTACCCGTTACCCACAACCTTACCTGTGAACTTATTGTCAGCTTTTAAATGTTAGTCTAACTAATGGAAAGAATTGGTATCTCTGTGTAGTTTTTATTTGTATTCTTATCCAGGCAAATTGAACCTTTTTTTCATATGCTTAAGGTCCATTTTACAATTTCTTTTTTCTTAATCATGTTATTTGCACTTTCTAATATGATTTGAC